CTAGAGATGACATAAAGTATTAGTCACCTTTGTCATTGAAAAAGTGGTAACTGTACCTAACAATATTGTTCGGGACCTAAGAATTCCAGGGGCCCTTTTCCAGAATTATTTTTTATTCTGGTCACCTTCTCTGGGTTTCTGTACTTGCCTTGAGTTCCTATAGCTCAAGGACAACTCAAGTGAACTCCCTGACACCCACAGCTAGTCCCTGCAGTTCTGAAAGGTGGCACTCTTTAATCAATTAACTACTTAATAGGTGGGTAAGAGTGTTTTGAATGGACATGAGAATTAGGTAGTAAAGTTGCATAGACTGGACAGAAAATGCTTGGGAAAGGAAAAAACTAGGGAGTGAGTCATGTGGCTCTCCAAAGTTTAAAGTCCATTCATTCACCAAAATGTTCCCATTAAATGTTATAGAAGTGAAGATACTGATGGATTCTGTAATCAATTATTTAAAGGTTGTGATTTATAATTACAAGTTTTAGGTGGTTTCTGAGAATTCTTTTTCTCTTCCAAGTATACAAAAAAAAATTTTTTTAAGTACTGGTCAACTATATTTTCTCTTCTTACCTGCCTCAATGGTGTTCAAATACTGTGATGCAATTAGTCATTTCACAGAGCAGCTAATGTCATTCTTTTTTATTTTTTTAATTCTCACCCGAGGACATTTTTTCCATTAATTTCTAGAGAGAGTGGAATGGAAGGAGGAATGGTAGAGATAGAGAGAAACATTGATATGAGAGAGACACATTGATTGGTTGCCTCCCACATGCCTTACTAGGGCTGGGGAACCTGCAACCGAGGTACCTGCCCTTGACCAGGAATCGAACCCTCATCCCCGTGGTCCCTGGGCCGATGCTGTAACCACTGAGTCAAACTGACCAGAGCTTGTGTGTGTGTGTGTGTGTGTGTGTGTGTGTGATTCTTTAATTAGCCTTCAAAACATCCCTTCTTCTTGAGCATTCTTTTCTAATCTTTCATTAATGCTAGAATGCTAAAAATGTCCCCTCATTGCTATTATTGTTTATTTATCTGATAAGTTTTTCACTGTATTCCTCTCCTTTCCTATGTCATGCAAATTGATGGGGTTTTTTTGTGTGTGTGTGATAGCATTTGATCTTTCTAGGTGGCCTGATATACTTGATAAAGTTTCAACTGGTTAGTCAAGTTGAAGTTTCAGTTATAATTGGAAACAGCTGTGAAATGGGATTTTTCTCTCTTGTAACTTACCTGAAAATGTTCCTCTTCAGAAAGCCAAGTCAAGAAGAAAGTTTTATTAACTAAAGAGAGAAGTAAAGGCACCAAATAGCACAGCTGGAAAGATTTTGTTTTCTTTCTCTTTTTTTTTTAAGTTCTCCTTTTCTTTGTATGGACGCTGCATGTAAAAACCTCAGAAGGCAGATCAGAATAACCAGCCTAAGTAATCCAGTCCTGTTGGCCTACCATTTCACTAAATAAATGAGAATTCAAGTTAATTCTTTCCTCAGAAGCTGGCTGCCAATTTGCCAAGTGATTGATTTGATGCTAATTTTCTTCCTGGACCTCTCATTTCCTTTAAGGCCTGTCCTATGAAAGGAAAATAAATTCAGCAAAGCTCACTGAATCAGGTCTTATTTTGAATTCAGAAGGTTTGGAAAATTCCTTCTCCCAACAGGACTATATCTTTAAGGAATCCTCATTTAGGATGTTCCAAAGAATGCAACTTGCTCTGAAAAGAATATAGAACAGTGGTTCTCAACCTTGGCTGCACATTAGAATCACCTGGGAATCTTTTTAAAATCCTGATTTCTGGGCCTCATCCTCCAGAGGTTGAGAACCACTGCTATAGAGTTTCCTACGTCCAAATGCCAGTGCACTCTGTTTCTGTGAGTTAGGCTTTTTAAGCATCCACATATAAGCGCTATCATATAGCATCTGTTTCCCATTTAGCATAATGCACTAAGGGCAATAGGCCTTGGGCCAGAAATTCTTTCTCCACAACCTTTGGACATGTTAGTTCACTTCTCTGGGCTCTACTGGGAGTGGAGGGACTTCTACTCATGCCATTTTTGTAATAAGAACAAAAGTCAACTTTGCTTTGAAGGCATTCTAGCTCAAATTTTTTGGAAACTATGCTACCATGTTGGAACCTCCAGTTATAAACTAACTTTTTTCAACATTTATTATCCAGGACCCCAAATTACGGGAACTTTTGGATGTGGGGAACATCGGCCGTCTGGAACATCGCATGATAACAGTGGTGTATGGGCCTGACTTAGTGAACATCTCCTATTTGAACCTCGTGGCTTTCCAAGAAGAAGTGGCCAAGGTATGATGCATAGAAACTTTGAAGCTGTCACCTTGATCCGAATTCTTATGATACTGTACCGGTGCCTATGAAAGACTTTGAGTTTCTGTCATATTTAAGGTGTTAAAATTCCATCTAAAAATAATTCAGCTGCCCAGTAGAAGTATAATCAAACACTTTAAAGTAGTGGCATCTACTTAGGGTTATGGATATTTTTCATAAGGCATTTGATACAATACATTTGCAAAAGAAAATATAGGTAAAACCACACTCCATTAATTAAGCTACAGAGTATGTTTTGCCTTCCCTGGCTGTGGTATTCTATAGGGTATTTTCCCCCACTAAAATTGCTCAGCCAGAAGGTTAAAATATTCAAACATCATTTTATTCTGAAAATGTATTCCCCATTCTTTTAATTCTCAGTATTGTCTCATAACATCACACCTTTAATCCCCAGGGCCAGTGTACATGATGCCTTGTGTAGTGTCAGCTACCAGTAAACAAGGAGACAGCTTCTCTCATTATGTAGAACTCCCAAGAGAAACCTGATCTTTTCTGAAAGTCAAATTTCTCCAGAAGAAGTTGTTTAGAAAGGGAGTCTGGCTCATTAATTCATTCAACACACATTTATTATATGCCTTCCCTGTGCCAGCCATAATTCCCGAGTTAGGGATACACCATTCTAAAATACCGAATGCCAGAATTCTGGAGGAAATACACAGATAAGCACATAGAAGTAAATGTAACATGGGTCAGATGGAAATCTCTGTGAGAGAATAATGCAGGAATGGAAGGAGAGAAAAGGGGGGAGAAGGAAATTACTTCATGGGATGCTCTGAGAAGGTAAAAAGCTGAAAGAAATTGCTCAATTACAACAATTTCATAGATTTATGAGAAATCTTGGGTCAATCAAATTTTTTTAATCAGAACCAGGACTTAAAAAATATTATTCCTAAATATTATTTCAGGTTTGAATGCTTTCTTTCTTATGTAAATCACTTGAAATTGAAGTTTTATTTATTCTTTAAGGCGACTCCTTTAAAATACGGACTTGGGGAGAAAAAACGGTGTCTTTTAATTTTTCTCTTTGTAGCAGAACTAAAAACATGTTATATCTTGCAATTAAACAACAGTCCTACCTCTGGTTACACAGCATGATTTGCCAGCCCCCCTGAACCCTAAGGATCAGCTTCCCCTGCTCCCTTGGCGCACCTCTTTAATAGACCTGGGAAAAGGTGGTTTTTCACATCTGCCCTCTGAGTCAGAGAGAAGAGAGTGATCAACTGGGTTAAATACTGCCATAGACTGTGTAAGATGAAGACCAGGAAGTAAGCACTGGATTTAATGCTATAGAGGTCACTGGTGACTTTGATTAGAGAAACTTCACTGGAGTGCTGGGGTCAAAAGCCTATTGGAGTAGTCTCTGGAGAATGTTGGCAGAAACAAAATAAGAAGCCAAAGGTGATTGCTCTTTTGAGATTTTTTTATGAAAGGGAAATAGAGCAATGAAAAGACTGCTGGAAGGGGGAAGTGTGTGAGGTTAAGAAAGAAGCAACAATGATAGACATGTATGCTGGTTGGAATGATCTTATAGAAGGAAAACTGTGCTGATGTAAGAGAGCATGAGAATTGCTGGAACATGCCCTTGAATAGGTGAGGGCAGTAAAATCCGGTTCAGGGCTCAGTAAACTACATCCCAGGAGCCAGGTCTGGCCCTCCACTTCTTTTTATATATAAAGTTTTATTGGAACACCACACTCATTTATTTACATATTGTCCATGGCTACTTTCACTAGACATAGTTGAGAAGTTATTACATAGACCATATGACACACAAAGCCTACAATGTTAACTATATTGTCCTTAATGAAACTATGATTCTGTCATAATTCACAAACAGATGGTCTGAGCTCAGACAGGAGCAAGGGCATTTCATCTAGAAGAGGAGAAAGAGTAGAGTACATCAGTAGAGATGCCCATGAGTGGTATATGCGGTGGAGGGAATTGTACAAGTTTTCTGGTTGCCTCTATTTTCTCAGTGACAAAGGAGAGACAGAGTCAGTAAGTAGCTGAGAGTAAGGACTGAATTCTCAAGCTTTTTTCAGCACCAGTTGCTGAATTTCTTTAAAGATCTATCTTGCTGGTAAGATTAACATGGACTACAAAAGACAGAGCCTTTACATCAACCAAAAAAAAAAAATGCCATTTTGAGCAAGTTAACAGATTTAACAGATCAATTCAAATGTATCCATTTGTCAAGGAGTCTGAAGATAAATTATTTTCTTCCTGCCAATTTTAACCTCTGTTTCCAGTTGTTCCGTTTTTCTTTGAGGTTGGGGACTACATAGAAAGAGACTCCTACTTGTGTACATTGCTCCCTGAAGTCATGCAGCCTAAACAGCATGGTGTGGGTTGGAAAACAGATTGCTCTGAGCCAGGGCAGGGCTTCACAGGATTGTCATATGCCAGAGTTTACCTTCAGGTCTGAGGGAGCCTGAGTAACGGATGGGAAACTTCTTCATCTGGAGTATCTCAGAAAGGAATGAACTTTGTCTCATAGTGAGCGAAACGGAATACCAGTCTCAAAGGCAGCAGAAGTGAAGTCTTCCTTGTTTAGTTTTGGAAAACTAAAATGATTTTCAGCATGTCTTCCCCTGCATTGAGGTCCATGGCTGGGTCCCTGGAAGCTCATCCCCTCAACCAGCCCCTCAGGCCCTGTCCTCGATCCTTGTTCAATGCATTATATTACTGAGCTGGCCTATCACTTTTAGAGACAGGACTTGCCATTCCGGCTCTGCTATTCAGTCCTAAATACTTCAATACTCTAACAAGCTCCCTGGGTGGAAACATCGTGGAAACACTTGCCCAGTTTGGCAAATTTCAACCCAGATGCTGCTCAGGTGTGTTAAAATGCAGCAGATTGAAACAGCGAGGATCCAGTAGGCTGAGATTGAGATGCCTAATGGCAGAGGCCTGCAGGGGAAATTTTGTGTTCACTTCTCTGCCAAAGGATTGACAGATGCCATTGCTTCCAATCCTTAATTCTACACACACTAAATTCTCTTAAGCATTTATACATTGGAAAAGAAAAATAAACAACTTCATTTGTCTAGGTTCGCCATGCTACTAGCAGGAACTCAGCTGGATGTTTTAACACTTTTGATTGAAATATAATATACACAGAAAAGTGCACAGATCCATCAAGTTGATTTGGGCTTACACAGCACCCATGTCAAAAACAGAGCATCACCAACACACCAGGAGTCTATCCTACTATCACATGCCTATCTTGGCCTCCACAATTATCGGTTAGTTTTACCTGTTTGTAAGTTTTCTGTAAATGGGAATCCTACAATATGTTTTCTTTTTGGTCTGACATCTATTACTCAACTATATATATATATATGACATTCTTCTGTATTTTGCATTTTGGTGTAGTTTGTTTATTCTCTTTGCTAAATAGTATACAGTAGTCCCCCCTTGTCCACGGTTTTGTTTTCCATAGTTTCAGTTACCTGAAGTCAACCACATTTCAAAGTACCAAATGGAAAATTACATAAATAAACACTGATAAATTGTAAGTTACACATCATTTTGAGCAGCATTATGAAATCCCAGGCCGTCCAGCTCATGTCCAGTGTGGCTGGAAGGGAGCCATGAGTCAGAGAGGTTGGAGGAGGAGTGATGAGTCACCCACATAGTGATAGATGACCACTATAAAAATTTGGCTTTACTCCCACTGACATGCGTAACTATTGCATCATTTTGAGCAAGGGATTGATTTGGTGTGATATTGTAGTAGGATTACCCTGGCTGCAACTTTAAAAGCCATAAAAGGAGGTGCAGAAACAGAAATACACAGATAAAAATGCTTGGGGTAGAGGTAGTGAGAAATGGTTGATTCTGGAGATATTTTGAATTTAAGCCAAAAAAATTGCTATAGGTGAGATATATGCCATGATAGAAAGAGGCTGCTAAGGATGATCTCAGGGCTTTTTGGAATTGCACTTTTTTTTAGATGGAGAGCTAGTTAGGGAGGGGAAATCAGAAATTTGGTTTGGATATAAAGTTAAAAATAGTATTTGACCAACATAGCAGAATGCACACAGGTGTGACTTCTTATCTCTCTTGAGACGCTATGAAAAAGATGGTAAAGAAACGTAAATACCCAAAGATGAAGACAATGAGACGGGTCACTAGGAGATGACATATTTCAATAAGTTTTCAGAAGAAGAAATGAAGCAAGGGGAATGCCTGATGAAGTGAAGAAAACCACAGTCCAACCCACGTATAGGGCTACAGGCAAGGAAATCACTGGCTTGCTCAGAAGCAACTGACAAGGCTCCAGCAGATTGTGGAGTAAGGACTAAAGGTTAAGTCTATGTCAGTTAAAGGGATAAGCACAAAACTGTCAGAAACTCTACTCCCTCCTCCTGCTCTGCATGTAGAACAATTGATAACCAAACTTCTCAGGTCAAAAGGGTGAGGGTTTGCCATTTGCGGAACTGAACAAATTATTTGAAAAGAATTATGGTAGCAAGCATTGGAGTTAAGGACCCAGAGTAAAGCTCTTCTCATTCTAGCAAAATACCACACCATAGCAGCTGGCACCCACATGCTTACCCTAAACAGAAGTCTGCAAGCCAGTAAATTCCACTTATAGACTCAGAGCTCCCTGTCAGCCCTTCACCATCCCAGTCTAAAATGTCAACTAAAAACACAATATCCACAGGCTATTGAGAAAGACTACAGCATTGAATGATAAGGAGGCCAAGATAAGCAAACAGTGAAATGGTAATAGAAGATAAAGAGATAATTCAAGGAGCAAATCATTTTTTTTTTAAAGAAGTATCTTCAGAGAGATTTTCGAATATATTATATCTAGGAGATAAGGACAGGATGCTATGAAAAAAAAGTAACAACAATAATTAAGTTTTCTCAGAAATAAAAAATAAGATAATAAAATGAAAATACAAATTCTTCAGAACTGTTGTAAGAGAGTATGAAGTGACTCCCAGAAT